ACCTTGCTTCCAGCTTCACACAGACATTAACCACACGGCGGTGGTTGGAAAACTTTGCTTCAGACATTTCTAAAAATATCTGGATCAATTTCTTAGCAGATAGAAGAGTTTAAAGATTGAAGTTTAGAGGGAGGGAGATGGTGTGTGTGTGATTGAAAAGTGTTGAACAGAACGGCACCCTCCATTCGACCCAGCTTTCCTCGGTACGCTCGGTAGTGAACTCGACTCATTACCTCTCTGACGATGAATCAGTGGAAGCGGAGCTCCAGTTACGCTACCGGTCCAGCGTCTCCGTAGGATGGCAGAGAACCGTCCGGAGTGGTGGCGGGACTTCGTCAACAACAGTTCACCTCACGAGTGGACTTCACATGAGTGGAGTCCGTCAGAGTTCCACTCAGAGGTGGAAGATGTCATAATCCCCAATACTCGGAAGAGCTTTGAATCATGGCTGGACTTCTGTTCTCCCAAACGACTGGAGCTGCAAACTCTCCACCCGACTCCAACTGGAGGTGGAACCTCTTGCAGAACTCCTTCATCCGACTCCAACTGGGTTGAACTAGGAAGTACCAACATTTAAAGAGCTCTATTTCCGGTTCATTTGGGAGTTTCTGATTGGTCGATGGACCAAAACAGAGGTGTGTTTTGTGATGTAAGGTGTTATGAAAAGTCAAGGAAAAAGATTAAGATTGTTTAAGAACAGACAGAAGATTGTTATGAAGAACTCAGACTTCGTGGAGTCACTTCTCTAGTATCTTGCTGTAAAAGTTAAACATGACATTTCTTTTTCAGTAAACTTGCAGTTGACCGAAACTTGAACTTTGACCAACTTACACACTTGCTCATTTCAAACAGATGATCAAGAAATTGAATCATTACTCTGTAACATATTCCAACTTGATTTCACTTTGAATGAAGATTAAAAATCGTTATTACTGTTTCACAGTTGATTTAAAAATGAGTAGTTCACTGCAACATCTAAAATGGTTTGAACTAAAACACTTTGATTATCAAACATTTGTAAAATAGTAATGATAATAGAAAAGAGAATGTTCTTTCACTTGAATTTTCAAGAACGAAAGTCTCAGGATGGGTCAACCTGTATTTCTGGATTCAAATCAATGAAATGACAGTTTCTGTCCCATAAGGTCCTTAAGGTCAGGACTTGACCTCAGGCCTAGTTCACTACAGTCCCCCCTTTGGAAATCATCGCCTGTCCATGGGGATGAATTCCAACATGAACTTACGCCTTCGAATGTCCTTGAGCTTGATGTAATCCAGCAAGGAAAACAAAGGTCAAAAGTAATCCAGCAAGGAAAACAAAAGTCAAAAGTAATCCAGCAAGGAAAACAAAAGTCAAAGGTAATTCCACAATGTTCTTGGTAATTCCATTGTGTTGATGATAATTCCATAATGTTGTTGGTAATTCCATTGTAGCAATGCTTTAAGCCCCTTGGAAACAGTTCACAACAATAGCCACAGCTGCAACACTGTGTGGTCCAAGAAAGTCCTGACCAGGTGGGACTCTAAGCCCTGAGACCATCTCAGAGATCTAAACAAAGTTAAGTCAGGTCCTCTGGATGGGTCAAAAAAAAAAAAAGTAGAAACATCTCATCTGTCATCCAAAATACTTCTTCTTCTTTTTTAAACACATCAAGATGACCTAATTTACCATTTTTTTCAGATGTTTCTACCTGGATTATTGAACATGCATCAGGACGTCTTGAGGGTATTTTTCAAATGTGCTCTAATGAAGCGCTAAGATGTTTTGGAAAGTAAAGCATGGTCATCATCCAGCAGGAAGGGGACCTAAGATGTATGAACTTTAACTGAAGACTAGTTCTTATTTTTCACTTCAGGGGATCAACTCTAAATATTTAAGCAGACAACTGACCAGCACAGAAACTCACTCAAACAAATGTGAAGTGGATAATACTCTTCTTGAAAACGCTTGACAGAAATACACTGGAAAATATCTTAGTGGCAAAGCAAGTAGTTCTAAGAGGTCTTCATTACAAGCAGCCAATCATTCCCATCAAAAATCCAACAACGGTTCAGATTTACATGGTAACGAAAGGCAAACTTCAAAGGCATTCTTAAAAAAATAAAATAAAAAAATAAAAAGTTATAATTTTTAACAAAACCAGTACACATGAATGCTGTGAAAGCAGCACCTGCATCCACATCATAAATAAAGTGTGTGGTCATAATGTAGGTATATTTTCTTAAAGCTTTTGTTACTCTATTGTATATATTCACAAGCTGTAACATTAATATATATATACATATATATATATATATATATATATACAGTGTGTGTGTATTTCAGAAACTTTTTACAAAGTAGTTGACTAGAGTGCACACATGTAGTTAGCCTTCTTTGTCAGTTCTTGCTGCAGTGCATTCCTGTCATCTGCAATGATTCCACTTTGTCTATTGGAGTTGCTGCTGGAGTTACCCTGCCACTCTCCGTGAAGGGCCCAAGTTGTTTCAGACCTAGAGACCACAGACCAACTGGGCTGTATGTCAGCAGCGGGAGAAATAAACATTATTGAGAGTTAAACTTGAGAAGGTCCTGGTTTTAAGATTGAGTTTGTTGCAGCTCCTCAGACTGAACAAGTCTTTTGGATAAAAGATGAAATGTTTCAACAAAGAAGAATCCATCCAGAAGACCAGACTCAACTTTGGTAGATTGTAGTTTCCTTTTCTCATATTTTCCATTAGGTCATTTTTTAAATTGTATTATATTTTTCTTCTTTCTTATACATTGTATCACTACTGTGATACGTTTAGTTTTGTTGCTACCTTTTTTTGTTGTTGTTGCTGTTGTAATTTAGTCTACTTAATCCCCCTTTAGTGCTTTAGATTCCTTTGTTGGGTTATTAGTTATTAGTTTGATATGTTGCTCTTTTTTATGGGCTCAGGACTGAAGTTTTTTTTTTTTTTGTAAATAAAATTGAAAATGTTTTGGGCAGATCTCCTGTGCCACCATGTTGGTTAATGTGGACACTGACAAATTATGTAATTCAGGTGCAAATGTTGGTCACTCTGCTGTGATGTTTCGTTGTGTCATGCTGTTAACACTTTAAACTAAGTTCTGATTGTTTTTAAAATTTGTTGCAGAAAAAAAAAAAAACGTTTATGATAAAGTCACACAAAAAAAAAAAAAAAAGTTATTTTTTTAGTGTTGGCTTTCAAACTTAAAAATGCAAAACCTTGGTAATAAATAACTATTCTAATGATGCTTTGTTTTCATGTTTTCTCATTATGATCTGTTTAAATACAATTATTATAATGTTGTATAAGTGACTCATGTGGGATTTTTTTACTTTTTTTTTTTTTATTTATAAAAGATGATTTAAAGGCAATGCAAAGAGAAAATTAGTTTTGCACAGTATAAATGTTTTCGTTACAAAGGCCTCCAGTCTTACCCGAGCACCAGGTATCTCACAGCAAGTCTCCTGAACGGCAAGCGAAGGGTCACAGTACATCGTCACCTGCTGAATATCCATCTGCAGAACAAGAACAGGAGGAGAAAGGAAGAGAGTTGTCAGTGAGGAAGGTGTTTTGCATGCAGGACTTTGCGTTGTCTGCTTTATTTATTTTGTTCGTTTAACTGAGGTATAAACATGGCTAAAAGCCAATTAATTTCTCATTTATATAAATCATTGGAAAAGCAATTTGTTTGGTGAATTATCTGAGTGTGTGTATGCGTGTATGAAAACTCCCTCTCGGCACTAACACAGAACCATTCTCGCATTTTAACTAAACCATTTGACCAGTTATTATAGTTCATAGTCCCAGCTCAGTCTTGGTATGTTTTATGAAGGAGCCCGGATGCTGTTTATCATTAGGACTTTACAACTTGGTCAAAATACGGCCTCAGCTTGGACCATGATCAGGAACAAACACAAAGACTGCATTAACGTTTTATACTTACACATAGATTAAATAAACATCTTCAATGCATTCACATTTGTAGAAAAGTGGCTTCAACAGAAATAATTTACGTTATTCACTATTTGATTAATACTGTTATATTATGCAAAAACACCTATAATGTTCCCTTTTCTTCTCTTTTACAAATAATGGACAGAAAAAAAAAAAGTGTGTTGTTTTCAAATAACGATTATCCATTTTATCTGCTATTATATTAATCAGGTGAACGCAGCATTTCATTTCTGAACCTGTTTGTTCGCTGTAAATAAAAATAACAAAGATTGCCATGTGACTGATTAGAAACTTTAGATTGTATTTTCATTGTGTGACAGCACAAGTATGGAAGACAATTTCCGCCAATGAAAAGAAATAAAACATCCAATAGATGTCAAAATTTCTACTTTCAAAGTCAAAATTTTGACATAACATTGGACATTTTATTTATTTTCATTGGCAGAAATGGGCCTCCATAGTGTAGCATGCTATGTAGTTAAGTTGATAACTTTAATGTTTTTTTTTGTTTTTCTTTGCAACACCTATTTTTTTTTTAAGTATGTACCAGTAATAGTGCAGTTTTTTTTTGTTTTTGTTTTTTCCGTCAGCAAGAGGAGACTCTTAAAGTTACTTAATGTTCTTGTCAATCTACTGATGCATACACACTACATTCATTTTTATTCAGGATTTTGTCTTATTGTCGAACTGTAACCATAACCTAATCAGTCTACTCCACTACAACTACTTTTACTTAAGTAGTGCAGCAGAGTTTATGAGCTCTTTTAACTTTTTCTCTCTTTTTTCCTCACATCACACGCTTCAGCTCCACACGGTGACATTGATTTTTTTTTTTTTTTTCTAACAGCTTTTTGTGTAGAAGAAAACTTTAAGTTTAAGTTAAGTAAAACTATAGGTGATGTTTTGTCATGAATTATAACATTCCACTTTTTAAGCATGACTTTGACTGACTGAATAGATGCTTGACAAAATTGTACTCGGTAACATTTTGCCAAGTGTCATTTTTCTTTAAATATAATTTCCAGGTAACAACGTTACGAATCCATTCACTCTCTAGTGTTTAAGTTCTTGAATTTAATGCCATTGTTTTATCAATGGCACTTTATTCTAATGATAACTGTTTATTTTTACTAAACAATTAAAATATTCAAACTGTCAGCATTATATCAGTTTGGATATTATGAAATTACAAATATATATGTTCAGAATGATTACACTACTACTACTACTACTACTACTACTAATAATAATAATAATAATAATAATAATAAAAATACTTAGCAGAATATTTTATTACGCTAATAATAACCAACTGCAGTCTTTTAGGAAAACTTTAGGAAAACTAACTAAACCAAGCACATCCCCAACCGGTACATTTAAAAAGTGCTATGTACGTTAAAGCATCCTTACTTGTACTGGTCCAGCGTCTGAAGCTCGAACACCCAGCAGTGTGTGTCCATCAGTTTTCAGAGAACCTCGTGGCTCAAGGGGCTTGGTCTCCATGGAGCTGCAGTCCACATGCAGGGAGGCGGTATCTCGTTGTACACTGATGGCCACTTTATGCCAGCGGAGATCCATCAGGGTCTCCACACCCTCCCCAGTGAAAACACAGCTTACTGGGTCAGCTGTGGTGTCTACCCCTGAGGCTCGTAAGGACAGGATCCCTTCAGGGCCACTGAAGTCCACAGAGAACTGGAATGTTGAGGTTTAGAGATAAAGTGAGATGGATGTTAGTAAGATGCCATGGGCTCGGTTTGTACCAAATAAAGTGTGTATTTGAAGCAGACTGACTTGCAGTGAATTGAACATGGAGTAATACCCACACATGATGCAGAAAACAAAGTTGCAGAACGCAGTAGGAAAGATGAGTTCAAAGTAAGACATTAATTACGCACACAAGCAGTACAGCCAATCAATCACCCTTAATGAGGAGACTTAGCCACCATCCATCATATACACCAAGTATTTAAATCTGGCCTCAGACTCCAAGCGATTATCGGGACTCCAGTGCTTCATCATGGAACACATATGAATAATAATGAAGGGGAATGAAAGAGAAGAGCAGGAGATGATGGAGGGAGGACAGACAAAGAGAAAGGGTTTGTCCAATGAAAAACAAGAGAAGACAAAAGGTGGCTGGGATGACAGAAGGGAGACAATCGAAAAGGTGTCAGGCGAGAACAGCAATCGAAAGGGAAAGTGGATGACTATGCAAAAGTGGGATGAGAAGGACTGAGCATAAAACAGGGCTGATTAGAATGGGAGGTGGAAGATCAATGGGGGAGGGTTAGGTAGTGAAGGGGGGGATGCACGATGACAAGAGGAAAGTGGTGAAATTGAAGGCAGTGGATGAAGAAGTAACGAGTGAGCCGCACCTGTGGATATCCCTGCTGATCTGATATCTGAAGGAGGTAGATGGTGTCTCTAAGAGCTGCCTTTTTTAAAGCCAGGGTGAAGATCAGCGTAAACTCTTCAGGCAAGCCTGTAGGGAACACCTCACTGGAACACAAACATTTACATATCATCATCATTCTCTGTTTCCCGTAGAGATAAATGTGCAATTCATTCAATCTTTATTTATACAGGTTAGTCTCATTGAGTCTCAAGGACTCATTTACAAGAGGGACCTGGGGTAAGCGATATAAAATAATAAAATCAGGAATATGTTTGCATTGTTTGTGGTCATTAACTTAGCAGTTGTTTGTAGCCAATTAGTAGTCCTAACTTTCTGGTAAGTTAGGGCCTCCTACCCTAAGTTACTAGGTTATACTATTACTATTACTATTACTAGACAATATTACAAGAACTAGCCTAAAGAAGTGCATAAATCATAGTTTCACAAACTTTTAATATCCTTCCTAACATTAAGGTTCATGCTCAATAATACAGATAAAGAAATCCAACAATGTTCAGTCAGGTCATTTGGACAGTGGGGGGAGTGCTTAGTGGGGAAAACAGTTTGTTTGTGACTTCTCAGACTGATGAAGCCCTTTGGATGGGGGCGGGGGGGGGGGGGGGGGGGCTCTCTTAAAATAACAAAAAAAGAAATAAAAAAAAAAAAACTGTCCAGACGACCTGATTGAACATTGTTGGATCCTTCCTAACAGTTAAATTTGTGCATTGCTTACTCTTTTTTTAAACATCCAAAAGTAAAACAAATACAAATATAATACAAAACCATCTTCAAACTAAAATATTGTGAAATGCAGGTAAAAGGTGACAGAACGAGAGATAATTACCAGCCAAATTACTATGAAAGAACCATAAAATAAACGTTTTGGAGTTGCTACAATATTCCTAAAAATGAAATAAAGCTGGGATGTTTTGTAAAGTATTAATGAAAACATAAAACAGTGACTTGTGTTCATGTTACATCATCATTCACAGTGGCGCACATAAGATAAGACAGAACTGTATTGAGCCCACAGGAAATTGTTGAACATGGCCATCTTTTGTGCTTTTTAATGTTTTGCTGCACAAAATTCCCCAATCATCTTAAAAAATGTATCATTTTAAACATCTGGTGTGCTTATTGTGTTCCATTATGAAAACAGATATGGGTTTGTGAGGTTTGCAAATCATGTATTCTGTACTAATTAACATTTTGCACGACATCCCATTTTTTTCAGATTTGGGGTTTTACATCTGCCATAATGGCAAGGACAGGAAACTGAAGAAATCCTGAAATTCAAAGTAGCCAGAAACTGGTACTGTTAGGAGTGAGTGGTTCTAGACAGCTTGCTATTTGGTGATGATATACAAAAAAGCTAAAAGGAAGAGGCATTTTATTTATGTATGTATATTTCTACACCTGAATCCCTGACATGGTGTCAATGTCTGACATACAGACAGGTCAGAAAACAACAACATAAAACCCAAAACTAATATATGGAATGACAACAAAACAACAAACTGGAGTCTGTGAAAGCTAAATAATAAAACAAAACCAGGATGGTGTAAGACTTTTGCTCCGTACTGAAGAGGCCAAAGAAAATTCAGCCATGGACAAACACCAAACAGCCTGTTCATTTTAAAAGTATTGATTTGATTTATTTATTTTTTATGATTTTTATGATGCTGACAGATTTAAAACAATTTATACATAGGTGGCTTATAAAATGTTCTCGTTGCCATCTGTAGTAGCGTATTATTGAATCCAATATATGGTGTGTGGTACAGTGACTCATGGAAAATGCATTTTAATGTTTAAAACATCAAAGTAATATTTTACATGTTAAGAAATATATATAAAAAGTTAAAAGTGTATTTTATACATTTATATCCTAATAAGCACCTCATGACGTTATGTTTTTTGTTTTCTATAAACGTTTTTTTGTATTATCCATTTTAGAGTGGCATGTTGGTACAGATGGTAGAGCTGCCTCACAGCGAACAGGTCGCTGGGTCAAATCCCGGCTGGGGGCCTTTCTGGGTGAAGTTTTCTTGTTCTCTCCGTGAATGTGTGGGTTTTCTCCGGCGACTCCGGTTTCCTCCCACAGACCAAAAACATGCATGTTAGGCTGATTGGTAACTCTAAATCGTCTCTAGGTGTGAGTGAGAGAGTGAATGGTTGTTTGTCTCGTTTGTCTCTGTGTGTCCCTGTGATGGACTTGCAACATGTCCAGGGTGTACCCCGTCCCTCGCACAGTGATTGCTGGACATGGGCACCATTAAGCCATGTGATCCAAGAAGGAAGCAACAGGTGAAATATATACAAATGATAATATCATTTTGATTTTATTATGATTTGATTGTTGATTTTTTTCTTCTTTAAATCACATATTCTGGTCTGTAGAGCTGCTAAACTTTGACCTTTTTTGTTTGTTTCACTCAAGGTTGTTACTTCACTTAAGACAAGCTAACATAATATATATATATATATATATATAAATTTTTTTTTTTTTTTTTTTTCGGGGACTATTTTTAATTAGAACACTGTTTATTTAAATACTTTGAACTGTCAATGCAAACTTTGACTAAAGTGATCCATCCAGCTTCAGATGCTGTTTTTGTTTGTTGTTTTGTTTTCCCCTCATAATTTGCTTATAAGTTTGATAAATATTTCATCTGGATATGGTTAAGCAACAACAAAAGAATGTAGCACAAAAAAATTGTGATTGTCCTATATCAAATCGACACATCAAATAAAAAGTCTTATCTAAGTTTCTAAGAATTGCTCAACTGCTTGGTTTTGTGACAAAATATTCCAAATCCATTTATTTTTATTTTTTATTCTCGTTTCCACTACCATTATATTTATAAATATTTGTGCCCTCACATGGCCACATTGATCTTTTTTCTTTCCTCACTCCTTTTTGTTAGTGAAGACATAAACACGTTGCTAAGCCCTTGCATGTGACCCCCTGGCATTCTTTTTCATAGTTTCATAGGAGATACATTCTTTCACTTTTCATACTGCAGTTTTGGTCAAGGGCAGCTGAACTAAGTGAATATGCACACACACACACACACACACACACACACACACACACACGTCCACACTACAGTTGGTCAGTGGAGGTACGTCCATGTATTGAAAGATGAAAGGTCCAAAACTAAAAGCTGTGAAATGCCTCCTGACAAGGTGGTAGGTGATAAAATAATAATAATAAAAAGTTTTGAATTTCTTTCTCCTGCTCTATTTTATCCTTGCATGTGAACACACACACAGAATTGTAGATGCTGGCAGCAAGTCTCCTGCTCCAAGAAGTTGGGTGACATTGATTTATGAGTGAGGTAGGATCCAAGGGAAAACAGCCAACTACAAAATGTCAAAACAAAGGGAGGATGAGTGAAAAAAAAAAAAAAAAAGGTGGGGGGAAACGGACCAAGAAAGATAGAGATGAAGATATAACTACTATATAAAATCAAGAAACCAGTACAGAAAACTCACAAGGATTTGACTTTAAACATTAATCTATGCTGATGCATCATTTAAAGAAGGAAGAAAGAAAGAAACAAAGGTGACATAAACAATTACAGACAGATGGATATATATATATATATATATATATATATATATATATATCATGATGGAGCAAAGATGTTTTGCTATTGATCAGCAAAATGAACTGCGGGGCACAAAACCACTCATAAAATTGACTAAAGTTGGAAAGATTCTAACTTTATCTGTTATGTTAAAGTTTGTTGAAAATATGAACCACACAGAAACAAAACATACATAAAACACAAGTTTACTGCTGGAAAAAAAAAATACTTTGTATGGAAAATACCACTTCTAGTATATGCCTCTCGTGTTTAAAATAAAGAAAGAAAGAAAGAAGTCAAGGCCGAGGCAAAAGGGAAATCAGTGTAAACCAGGAGGCAGGAAAGAAAGGAAATTTGATGTTAAAAAGACAAATCTCTTGTTTAGGACTGGAATATCAACTGGGGAGGCAACCAGGCACCTGTACGCAGACTTCTAAGTGTGCTGGAATCAATTGCTTTCAGGGATTTCTGTCTCTGCGTGTATAATTCATTACTAACCGGAAGGAATTTTAAACAGCAAGCAGCTGACACTTGAAAGAAAGGGAAGCGTTTCAAGCTCTAACTGACAAATGCTACGTCTTGTTTTTGCCCTTGTGGCATCTTTTTTTATTTTTATTTTTTTTTTGTGCTATTTTAAATTTTTTATAATTTAAACAATATGTAAACAGTTTAGTGGAAGAAGAAATTTTGCATTCAGCAGTCTGTCGGACTTCATTCGACAAGTTTGACTCCAACAAGAAGCGTGATTATCCCTAAAGCTGAAATACATCGTTACAAGTGTTTCTCTTACTGACTCTTATCCTGAGTCAGTCAGATGTGTTAACTCTCCAAAAAATAATCACATTTTCTTTTTTAATGTTTTGTTTTAATCTATTATATTTTTGTTTTATTATGTATATATTTTTTCATTTATGAGAGGAGCATTTTAGCACACAGCCAATACTTTCAGTTGCTCATAAAGATATCATGTGTTTACAAGGATCAACAGCTTAGAATCAACTTAACTGTAAAGTCTCAATTATAATTATTTGTGAAGTGTATTTCAATTAAGTCACGAACTGTCATTAACCTACCCTGATACTTAAACACTCTGCATGTGGATAAAAAGAAATAACCCTAAAACAGCCAAATGTTATTTTTTACCAGAACAAAACATTGTGTGATTCGATGAAACCACTGTCCATTTTACCATAACCAGACAGCTGGCCGAGTTGACAGACACATATTATCAGTCTGTCAGTCTTTTGGATTAGCTCATATTAAGAGAATGGATTAGCTTCAAATATGAAGCAAAATGCAGCCTTCCAATTACAGAACACATGTCTAACACTTCACTCAAACCCAGACACTGATGAATTAGAAAGCTGCTTGAGTGACAGATACCTTTAGCTGGAAGGAAGCTATTTATTAAGCAGTTTTACAAATGATGTGTACAGTACATGCTGGAGCAGAAAAATAAAATAAATACAGAGTGAGTTGTATAGTAAAACATACATGAGCTTACAGCCAAACAGATGTGCACACATCTGCATCATTGTTGATGTGGATCCTCAAAATCAATGTCCAAATCAATTTATTAACTGTATTTTTGAGGTATTGGCACAGTTATTATTTTTTTTTTTTTAGTTTTTTTAATACAATTGTAGGTATGATGGACCAAGAAAATGCAATGAGGTATTAGGTAGAAGACCATGACACAACAGAATGAGAATATGATCTCCAGTCTGAGGCCAGTGTTTTTGATATTGATGCTTATCAAGGTTTTTTATGGGACTCAGTGCATTCTGACTTACAAAGCCCTCAACAACCTAGCTCCATCTTCTATTACAGATGTTATTGTTCCATCTCTTCCTAACAGAGCACTTCACTCTCAGACTGCCGGTTTACTTGTGGTTCCTAGAGTTTCCAAAAGCAGAACAGGAGGCAAAGTGTTCAGATATCAGGCTCCTCTCTTCTGGAACCAACTTCCAGTTTCTGTGCGTTGGAGCTGACACACTGTCTACCTTTAGGGATTAAGTTTTTCTTTTCTGATAAATCCTATAGTTAGGGTTGGTTTGGTTTTCCTACACTACCCCTTAGTTATGCTGCTATAGGGTTAGACTGCAGGAGGACAATCAAACCACATTTATTCACTCTGCTGCTGTCTTTACTTTCTCTGCTCTTCCTGTTTTGTTTTTCTACCTGTTTTGTATTTGTAATCCTTTCCATCCTTAACATGTGCTTTTAGTTGAAAACAACAAAGTCCATGCTCAATAATCCAGGTATACAATCCAACATTTTTCAGTCAGGTCATCTGGACAGTTTTGACTGAAACTGTATGGACTTTGTTGTTTTCAACCAGTTTGACAAGACTGTCAACAAGGAAGAGGGCCGGCAATGGAGGAGGGGGCGTACCAAAGAGGCCATCTTATCACAAGCAGAACTGGTTTGTTCCACTTTGGAGTAAGCTGTTGGGGGAAGAATCAGTTTTGTTGTGTGTTTCCTTGACTGATGAAGACTTCTGGACTGAAGGAGAAACATTTCAGCACAAAAAAAAAAAGAAAATAAACTGTCCAGATGACCTGACTGAAAAATGTTGGATGTGCTTTTAGTCTTTCTTCCAATAGGGGGTACACCTGAACCTAGACCTGGACCTGCCATTCTGTGTCCGTTTGTTTCTTAGTCCAGTTCTCTCAAACACCAGCCGGTCAAAGCAGATGGCTGCTCGTCCTGCAGCAGGTTCTACTGGAGGTTTCTTCCTTTTTAAAAGTGAGTTTTTCCTTTCCACTGTTGCCTTTATGCTTGCTCAGAATGGGAAACTGCAATGAAGTGAAAATTCAACAAGACTGCAGGCTTCCTTCCTTAGATAGAGAACTTTTACTAATTGGCTTTTTTTTTTTTTTTGTATGCAAATGTTTTTGTACAGTGCCCTGAGACAACTTATGTTGTGATTTGGCGCTATATAAATAAACTGAAGTGAATTGATGATGGCGATATTGAGTATTTTCTATGGTTTTCTATGACAATGGTGTTTTCACTGTTGTTTTTCAGACTGTCATCATTAAACCGCAACTGCAAAGTCTCCACAGTCAACAACAAGAGGTACATTTCTAAATACTTATGAACTTATGAACTACTGACTTATGACGTTCTGGAAGGCATAACGGTAGTTCTTTTACCCGTTAAGCTGCCAAATGAAAATGACATCAGACCATGTTACAATTCCTTAAATGTGAGTAGTCTCTTTGATGACTGTGGGTGACTGGAATCTGAGCTTTGAACTTTATATTAAAAATGTAGCATGATGAATGCATTTAATCTTTTGATGAAGA